CCACCGGCCACGAGCACGCTGTGGTCCGCAAGCTGGCCGTCCTCTGCGTGCACGCCGCCGCCGTGAGGATGCCACTGGCCGCGAGCACGCCATGGTCCGCAAGCTCGCCGTCCTCTGCGTGCACACCGCCGCCGTGCGGATGCTACCAGCCAAGAGCACGCCATGGTCCGCAAGCTCGCCGTCCTCTGCGTGCACAATGCCCAAAGAAGTGGATCCATACAGAGATGAGATGAGGAGGTGAAGTGATAGGACGACGAAGCACAGCGCCTGAAGAAGTGGAGGGGCAAAGTTGGAAAGAAGCGGTGAAAAAGCCTCATGCGCAGAGCATTGCGGGAAAAACGGGAAAAAGTTAAACGCAAACTAAATAGGACCGGAGGGAGTATAAAGGTTCTGCTGAGGGCACAGCTCAACAAGCTCAAAAATAAAAACCAGAAAAAGTCGGACGAGGAAAGCGTCTAGTCTGGTTCCGGCGAGGGTGGCGGCGACAGACGGACAACCATCGAGCGGAGGTCGGCGATGAAGGCAGAGATGGTGTCGCGGTCCTGAGGACAGCTAAACGGCCGCCAAAGTTGTAAGAAACCCGAAAGTTTGAAGAGAGCGTCAGTAGCCCGTCGAAGAGGAGTACGCTGGATCACAAGCTTATTGCGGATCGTTTAGAGGGTCCAAGCGAGGATGTAACGTCCTCGATGGGTCTATATCTCCCACGTGTCGAAGCACGACTTAGAGGCATAACCGCATTGAAATCAATATCACAAGTGAGGTAATCTTCACACAACTCATGTAATAAATAAAAGAAAGAGATACATAGTTGGCTTACAATCACCACTTCACACAATTACATGAATAAAGCAATACATCATCCAAATACACTCAAGGTCCGGCTACGGAACCAAAATAAAAGAAGACTACCCCAAATACTACACAGATCCCCGATCGACCCCAACTGGGCTCCACTACTGATCAACTAGAACGAAACAACAAAAAGGACAAGATCTTCATCGAGCTCCTCCTTGATCTTGGTTGCGTCACCTGCTCGATAACATCGGCACCTGCAAACTGGTTTTGGAAGTATCTGTGAGTCACGGGGACTCAGCAATCTCACACCCTCGCGATCAAGACTATTTAAGCTTATGGGTAAGGTAAAAAGGTATCAGGTGGAGCTGCAGCAAGCGACTAGCATAGATGGTGGCTAACATACGGAAATGAGAGCGAGAAGAGAAGGCAAAAAGTACGGTCGAGAAACTATGATCAAGAAGTGATCCTAGAACAACCTACGTCAAGCATAACTCCAACACCGTGTTCACTTCCCGGACTCCGCCGAGAAGAGACCATCACAGTTACACACGCGGTTGATGCATTTTAGTTAAGATCAACTTCAGGTTTTCTACAACCGGACATTAACAAATTCCCATTTGCCCATAACCGCGGGCACAGCTTTCGAAAGTTCAAATCCCTGCAGGGGTGTCCCAACTTAGCCCATCACAAGCTCTCACGGTCAACGAAGGATATTCCTTCTCCCAAGACAATTTGATCAGACTCGGCATCCCGGTTATAAGACATCCTCGACAATGGTAAAACAAGTCCAGCAACACCGCCCGAATGTGCCGACAAATCCCGATAAGAATTGCACATATCTCGTTCTCAGGGCACACTCAGATGAGACATCCTACGAGTAAAACCAACCCTCAAGTTGCCCCGAGGTGGCCCCACAGTCTACTCGGTCGGACCAACACTCAGAGGAGCACTGGCCCAGGGGGGTTTAAATAAAGATAACCCATGAGTCTGCAAAACCCAAGGAAAAGAAAAGTCTAGGTGGCGAATGGTAAAACCAATGTTGGGCATTGCTGGAGGAGTTTTATTCAAGGCGAACTGTCAAGGGGTTCCCATTATAACCCAACCGTGTAAGGAACGCAAAATCCGGGAACATAACACCGATATGACGGAAACTAGGGCGGCAAGAGTGGAACAAAAGACTAGGCACAAGGCCGAGCCTTCCACCCTTTACCAAGTATATAGATGCATTAATTAAATAAGATATATTGTGATATCCCAACAAAATATCCATGTTTCAAACATGGAACAAGCTCCAATCTTCACCTGCAACTAACAACGCTATAAGAGGGGCTGAGCAAAGCGGTAACATAGCCAAACAACGGTTTGCTAGGACAAGGTGGGTTAGATGCTTGACTTAACAATATGGGAGGCATGATAAGCAAGTGGTAGGTATCACGGCATAGGCATAGCAAAAGAGCGAGCAACTAGCAAGCAAAGATAGAAGTGATTTCGAGGGTATGGTCATCTTGCCTGAAATCCCGCAAGGAAGAAGAACGAGTCCATGAAGAAGACAAACGGACGTAGTCGAACGGGCCCTCATAACGCGATGATAATGGAACCAACCCGAAGAAGCAACACCGGAAAGAAGCACACAACATAGTAAACAACCAACACATGAATATGGTATGATATGCGGGATGCGGCATGTGATGCATATGCATGATTTGGAGAGGAATGATTGAACCTGGCCTCAACTTGGAAATCCAAGAGTACCACTGGAAAGGTGAGGTGATTTCGGTTGAAATTGATATAAAGACCACCGGAATCGGATGCACGGTTTGGAAATGGCAAGCAAAACAAATATGGCACCGGTCTGCGATAATCAGCAAGTAGCCTTCTAAATGCATCAAGACAAATATGCTACATCACTCAAACATGGCAACAAAATACATGGTAGGGATCCACTCAAGATGATTGACAAAATATGAACACTGAGCTACGGCTAATTCCTCCATTAACATGTTCAAACAAGCATGGCAAAAGAGCAAATGATAACAGGTTTCAGACTTAGTGAAATTAACACAAGTCTGGAATTTATTATCAGGAAGCAATCTTTAGATCATGAAAACTACATGCTACAGGAACATATCATGGCAAAGCAAGGCATGGCATGAAGCTACTCAAAGCACTTAACAAAAAGGCCCTTAGTGACTTTGAGCCAAAAGGGATCAGAAAATACAATTGCAAGCATGTGAACATAGCAAAAACATAAACAGATTCAAACTTAGTGAAAAACTGGAGCATACAAAACAGATTAACAAGTAGACATGTTTACGAGCTCGATGCACTCACTACAGAGCATGGCATGACAAACTAAGCATACACCCATCAAGAAGACATGGCATAGAAGCTAGACATGACAGGAACAACAACATAGCATGCACGGATCAATAGCAACATCCTCGGCAAAATCACTAAACATGTCAACAATTTGCTAGGATCATTTTATAGCAAAAGTAGAGCTCGATTGACTCAAGCTAGGGTGCTCCATAAATGCAAACAAGGACATGGATGGATAGAGCACCACAATATTAACAAAACATCCTTACTGATCATCCTCAAAAGAGGCACGAATCACTAGGAGACAACATCAAC